AACATCTGGAGTTCGCCAAAGTTGATGACCAACCTAAATTGCCGGTTTCTCCTCGGGCAAATTGAAAAATATGTCCACCTTAATAGGGTTACGAGCAATTTTGTACGACGTCTCATGGCAGTGTTGCATAGAAAGTCCTTTAATCTTAGACAACTCAAAAAGTATGTGCAAGTTTGGTTTGCATTTTAAAAAACAGTATCTGAAAATTATTTTTGGAAAGAGTTTTAAGAAAGTGTTTTTCAAAATTTTTAGATTACAAAACATGTTTGATTATATATTTTTGAAAATAGTTTTAAATAAAAAAATTATAAAATTTGTTTGGATAATAATCCACAATTTTCACCTCTCTTCAACTCTCTGTCTCTCTCTCTTTCACTGTGCATCAACACCACCACCGACCCATAACCACCCAAAACCCATAACCACCACCCAAACCGAGAACTAACCAAAACCCACAACCACCACCAACTCACAACCACCCAAAACCCCAATCACCACCGAAACCCACAATCACCACATGTGCCTGAGACACCTCCATGCCGCTACTTACCTCCTCTTCAATAGCAATGTTGGTTTTTCTCTTTATTGATGCTCCAATTCAAGAGTCTCAAGCTTTGAGTCACCAAGGATTTCAAAAAAAGGCACTCATGAATAAGTTGGAAGGAGTGGGTATAATGAAGAAGAAGACTATATTTATAGCCTAGGGTTTTTAAAGAGGGAAAAATCCAAATTAAAAATTATGGGCTCTCTTAAAATCCTAACAAAAGTGTGAAAGATTTGAGATGCGCACCAAAGGAAAAATACATCATGTAGAGAAAGAGTCGTCTAGCAAAAGAAGTCTTCACCACATGAAACTCAAGATGTAAGTTAATGCACCCTTCTCCAAGTCTCCTTGGACACGGGGTATTGGGGGACAAATGATGGGTCAAGCCCAAATAACCTAATTTATGTGAGAAGTCCAATCCCAATTGAGGAGCTCAACCTTATGAAAGATCCATCAAACTCAACATAGTTCAAGATCAGTCAAACTCTCTGCTTGACTACGTCATCAAGAGGGAGAGCATAGGAGCCCTACCTGCATCGCAGAGGAAAAAGTCCACCATTACCTCATCTTTGACTGCATCTCAAGGATAGCTCCTCAACCTCTTCGCCCGTTGAGAAGAAGTCGTGAACTCCACCAGAGTAGTCGCTTAGTTGCTATCAAGTAGTCTCAATTTGTTAGGGGACCACTATAAATTGTACGCCTCACCAACACTTGGGGGGCATCGCACTTTACTTGACCATGACTCTCTCTTCTCCCTCAAAGCTTGTACTCTCTGCTCCCCACACCCTTGAACTAATAAAAACACCCCGCGACCAAAGTCATTCAAGAGTGGACGTAGGACACATTGACTGAACCACTATAAATCTTGTCTATTCTAATTCTCTTTTTACTTTTACTGCATTTATTATTTACATTTAACAGGTGGTGTGCAAAACCATTTTGTGCATCATCAAATGTGACTGCTTAAGATGTTGCTAAAATATTATAATTTTATAGCTAAATTGGTTGTGTATACCAATTATTATAATGAATTAGATCAACAAAACATATCAACAATGCATCCATACAAGGGCCGAAGGAGAAAGCGCAGAATGAGATGCGGATAAAGCACAAAATGAGATGTGCTACGAAAGAGGAGGCATGAGAAGCCAATTTTTTTCTTTGCACATAATGGGCCTATTAGGGCATGTTTGGTTTGGACATCAGGATATGGATAGTTTAGCGCACCAGGTTCTTGTAACCGCATGGTCTAGAGAAGATTAAATATCGACCACTATTGTGGTTTAAACCATTGTCATCCAGATCAAAATAGAAGAACCTTATCATTGTTACAAGGGTATGAGGAGGTTGGATATAACTAAACTCTATTTAGTTTGATTATAATTTAATGTAATATTTGAATCATGTGTATGGATTTTAGTTTTATGACATGAATTGATAATGGCCCGATGCAACATTGTCAAATAACACCACTTGGTACAAACCAACTCATTTTGATCGGGCTTTTTGATGAAATTGAGTACTAGTAATCTTTTCAAGAAATCTTTTATCTTTTTTAACCCAATACTATATATTAATCTATAGTCCATACATATGATTGATATTAGGACCAGATCCACATTGTATTGTAACCTTGAGCTAAATATAATATAGATGGGATACAACAAAATGATTAGATTATTATCATCATTAATAAATTCGAATCAATTCTCAAATCTGATCCTCATGTACCCCAACTAATCAATTCTTAATTTAAAAATCTTAGAAAAACTCGATAAGAATTTTCAAAATGGCATACATTATGAGATAAAAAGTTTCCATAAAGTTGAAGCCTAAATCCAAAGAGTGACATAGGATTAGGAACACATCCCAATGTCCCAAAAGCATCCCGACGGTAAAAGCAATGGTATCCTGAAACATGCTGGCCTGCAGCGGTCTCTGCGAAACCAGTTGCTTGTCATCACCCTCCAACTCCAACCCAATACTGTTCTCAAAAGTTAAAATTTCCCACTTACCCAAAGAAGAAAGTCAAAACTTCCTAGCCAAATTCTCCAAGCCAATACCCACTTAACATCTGTTCTTTATTTTTATTTTTTGTAGGGTAAATTGTATTAGAGGTTATCAAAGTATGATGTTTGTCTCATTTTGGTTTATAATATTTTTTAATTGCATCACTTTGGTCTTTTTAAATATTGAATATATTTCTATATGGTCCTTTAAACAGATAACTTTCAAATTGTTAATAATTTTTTAATCATAAACTTATCAGGTAATACTTAAATACGGATAAAAAATAATTTTGATAGCTTTTAAATAAAATTTGGGTAACTCTTGACAAAAAATGTGTAATGTAGGTAGCATTTGACTAAAATTGGGGTAACTCATGATAAAAAAAATGTGTAATTGAGTATCTATTTAACCAAAATTTGAGTAGAAATTTAGTTAAGAGTTATTTTTTATATTTTTGTCCATATTTAAATATCACATAACAAGTTTATGATAAAAAAATTGTTAGCAATTTGGATGTTATCCGATTGAGGGACTATATAGAAATATATTCAATATTTCATAGATCAAAATGATGCAATTGAAATATTAAGAGCTAAAACGAGACAAACCCTATATTTTGGGAACTTCCCGTGAAATTAACACTAAACAAAAAAAAATTTACCAAAAAAAAAAAAAGAAAATAGCAAATTACATTGAGTTTGCTCTTTTCTTAGACAGAGTTTCATTGAAGTTGTCTAAAAACCCTTCACTCAATTTTAACTTTTCATCGAAGAGGATATTTTATTTTGGCAAAAATGCGGTTGGGAACGCTATATAAGTGGTGAAAACTTCAAAGTATACATCTGTAAACAATATTTGCTTATACGCACTCATCGATGCATTAACTGCAAGGTTAACTTACACTGCATACCAGCCTGTGTTGATGAATTACTCTAAGGCATACCAGTTGGATCAACAGCTGCACGAAAACTTTGAAATTTGCAATGACTTGTGGACGGGTGCAGACTGGATCTCAATCCAGGGTGGACTAAAATGTAGATAAAGAAACTTCACCAAATGATATAAGCTGTAATAGCTTAAGAAATATATCGATACAAATAATGTTATTGGAACCTAATTTACTGAACTAATTCACTATGACCTTTGAATTAACTGTGGGCTCCATCAAATAATAGAACTTTGTGTTTATCTAATGATTTTGATGAAGTCACGTCATTAAATCAGCAAATTATGTCAATTTTTTTAGGTCCAAATAGCATTTTCCTATCAATATTCAAAACTATATTCCTAGAAAAAAAATTAAAACTAACATTATTCAACCTTAAGAAGATATGGAACAAAAGAATAAAATATAATTTGTGTCTCAGCCGGTCACGCCTACATCACTATCCAAATAAGCCACCACATTATTTCATGTCTAGAAAGAATCAATCGTTGATTTTTTATGCAAAATTTCCAAGTAGTTTCCTTTAAATATACATATAACTCTTGATACCAAAAAAAAAAAAAATTGTCGTTCAACATATCAAATATTCTATTTTTGACAATATACATAGTCGAAAATGATCCTCGTGTCTAATAGGTATCAGTAATTTGATTGATTAGTGAAATTCAGCTCATAACTCCATGTATTTATCGACTTGTACAAGAAATGGGTGAATAAAAAGTGAATGAAGACAGATTTTAATAGTCATTTTCATTTGCTAGTATCACAAAAAGATAAGTACCAATCAATGGGGGCATTAAATAAAAATATCAATAGTGTCTTTTATATGCAAAAAACACATATATGGGGGCAATCCAAATGTTTTTTTTTTTTGGGGAGGGGAGTGGGGGGGTGCCCTAGACATTTTGGGTCCTAAAGCAGAAACGATAAATGAGGTATTTTTATTTTTAATATTAATAATAAATTTAATTTTTAATTTTTTTAAATACAAAAATATTAATTAAAATTTTATATTCAAATTTTTGGTATCATATTTGAACTTAATGGCAAGAGAGAGAGAGAATGATTGAAAAACGGTAAGTTTAAAACTAGACTTTTTTTAGGGTTAAAACTAAATTTTTTTGTAGTTTTACTTTTACATTCAATTTTTTTTTATTTATTTCAAAAAATTAATTTTAGGGCCTTTTAATTTTATGGCTGAATTAATAGGCCCAAATTATTTAAGTTAAAATATTTTGTTTAGACATAAATTAAATTTTTTTTATTATTACTGTAGACCTGTAGATTATAGACCTTCTTTTAAAGTGGGCCTTAAATATTTTTTGATTGAGCTTGTATTTTTATAAGACTTTTTTATAAGACTTAAAATATTTATAGCTGACCCCCAAAGTATCATTTTAATTCGGCAGACGGCGGCAAGAAATGTTTGAATGTACAGATTGCTATTATTTCAACAAGAATCACTAAGCTACTATGTGAGTGTGCTATAAGATCATGTACTTGCCATGTTTTATTACTCTGCATGAGCTTTACCCTTTTTAATACTGCTGAATTCTCTAGAGCTTCTATGTATAATAACCAGGGGAATTTTCAATTCTTCTGTGAGCTTGAGAGGGAGACGGAGCTTTGTTCTGAATCCAAATATTCAAAAAGTGCATTTTGACTCTTCTTGCCAAACCTGTAAAAATGGAAGCAGGATTGCCTGGAAAAGACATGCGAAGGTCGATCAGGGGCAACTACCAGAATAGGAGGATGAGTTTTGCATCTCCCACATGGAGTTGGGACTCGCTGAGTGTTCAGGCGTCATTTTCAATTCCAGGAGGGGAAGCTTTTGATAGGAGTAGCAGAGAATATGATGAGGAGGAGCTAATGTGGGCTGCTATTGAGAGGCTTCCAACTTTCAGTGGGTCGAGGAAGGGAATTTTGAGGCCAGTTTCAAAAACTGGAAGAGTTTTTCATAAAGAGGTTGATGCTGCCAATCTTGGAATGCAAGATAAAAGACTACTCATGGAAAGTACTCTTAAAGTTGTGGAAGATGATAATGAGCGGTTTCTTCAAAGTATCAGAGATCGTATTGATAGGTGACAGACGAACCCTTTCTTTAACCTTGTTGCAGCTACTGTTCAGGGAAAAAAAAAAAACCTTGGCGCAGCTTTGAGTCGTTCAATCTTTGATTTTTTGGATTGCTTAAAATTGAGTTTTATCTTACTAATGCTTATCTTTAGATTATTTAAGTGTATAAGCTGTCTAGGAACTTCAATTTTTGTGCCAAACAGGGTTGGAATCGATATTCCTAAGATTGAAGTTCGATTTGAGCATTTGGCAATTGAGGGAGATGCTTATGTAGGATCTAGGGCGCTTCCTACCCTGCTGAATGCTACCTTGAATGTAATAGAGGTAGCTGATTGTGTTGCTTCACTTTTATTAATGAATTACAATATTTATTCAATTGTTCAAATGTAATAGGTGGTAGAATCACCCAAGATTACCTTTTGCACCAAAACTACTCAAACTGAAAATCATAGATGGGTGGCTGCTAAAAATGAAAAAATTTGCTGTTGTCCAAGTGAATATGTGGCCTTTCCTGCTACTATATGCCAAAAAAATTTGTGTTTGTTGGGATGGTTTGTGAGTTCTTTAGGAATTGGAGTAGAATAAACTATATTTGCCCCCAAAAAAAAAGAAAACTATATTATAGATTTTTTTTTTGTCAGCATTGTCGAAATAATCTATCCATGTGCAGAGTTAAAACTGTGTGCATCGAAGCCTCCTTAAAGTGGCGGGAGCCTTGTGTATGGAATTGCCCGATTTTTGTTTTTGTTTTTGAGCAATTAGAAGCATCATGAGAAGCATGATCTCAGTGCCATCCCAGTGCAAGGCAACTTAGGCAGTGGCTTAGGGCCCATTTGAGAAGGGGCCCCATTTTTTTTTTTTTTGTCTTAGTCATCTATGAAATCTCGTATTCTCAACATATACATATACAATGTAATTATTTGTATATTTTTCAATGTTACACTATTAAGTAATGAGTAATAAAATTTGACCAATTAGCTTATTTGCCGATATATCAAGTGGTATAGTTTCAATTAAGTTCAAGAGTTTTAGTTTTAATTATACTATTGGACTATATTAACTGTCATATTATTATGCAAGTAAATTAAATCAAAATTTTAAATTTCAAAATAATTACTCTTAAATTTTTTATTCTCACTAGACACAACTCTAGACTTACTGAAAACAATTTCTATACCTTTGTTATGTTCATTCCAAACCATAATTAATTTAATTCGCCTTTTCTCCATTGTTCTCTTGAGATCCGTATATTTAAAGGGTATGGGTTGGAAATATTTTTTTCTAATTTATATTTACATATAATTGCATCTTCAAACCCAAAAATAAAAAATAAAAAATTCTTGCTGCTAGTCTTTCCCTCCCTATTTCTTTCATTCCCTCCCACTTAAAAAATTATTTTTTCTCTCTTAAACGGGAAATAATATTATCAATATCTTGAGAATTTTTGAAACTGCGATTAATTTTCTGATATTGATAAGTTAGATTTATTTTCGGAACTAAAATCTAACTATAGTTCTACATAAAATATTCAATCAGAAACATTAAAAATTGCATAAAAAGGCATATTGTTTTTTTTAAAATGCATGTACTAATTAATCAAACAATATTTATTGAGAATACCTGTATTGCCCTTGCAAAACAACTTTTTTTTTTTAATTCAAACTAATGAAGTCCTATTTGAGTTTAATTTAACATCTCAAAAAGAGAAAAGAATAATTTTTAAATAAAATTCTAATTATACCACTTGTATAATAATATTAAAATTCAAAAGACCCCATTTATAACTTTCGCCTAAGGAACGGATTGTTTCGGCCCGCCTCTGCATGCTCTCTAAGATCATGATAAGGCTAGCCAACTTTGGATACATACATTTAAAGGCATATAGAAATTTCCAGAAGATTCTTGGATGCTATTGTCTGTGGATACCTGATAAAATTGCTTGCATGATAGACCTTATTTAATTGAGAAAGTATAGAGTTAGAGAGGTTGAAGCTTAAGGTAGCTTCTGTTAAAAAAATGGGGGATGCCATTGCAGTGAAGGAAGAGAAAGAAGGGAACATGTCTGATAGAATGATGGAGTTAGCTGTTAGTATTATTGCTCAAGGCTAGTAGTATTGTTTTCCACATACAGAAAGTACAAGTCAGACTTGCACATATAAGGACTTGTTGATTGTCTGTTCTTGCACATTCATGCTACTTTTTGCTAAGTCTTAGTCATGAATTAAGGAATCTCAGATTAAAATTAGATGCTTCAACTTGTTTGATTCTTCATCTGTGGTGATTAATTCTTCAAGTTCTTCGCTTATTTGTAGTAAGCAATGTCCTCTTTTGTTTTGGTTTGATCTTTTAATGTTTCTGAGAGAGATGATGACTCCATATTATGAAAGTGTGTCTTTTTAGAAGAGATAAATTTTGCTTTAATTTTAATTCATTGTTGTCAATAGGAGGTTCTTGGAGTAATGAAGCTTTTTCCGTCTAAGAAAAGGGTTGTTAAGATACTTAATGACGTGAGTGGAATTGTGAAACCATCAAGGTAAGTTGAGGGAAGTAATGCAAATGTTCTAATAAGCGTTTATTTACAACACCAGTTTTCCACGTCTGCACAGCCATAATGAAGAAGAAAAAAATTGTATAAGCGCAAGAAATGTTCATGATTTGTGTTATTGAATTTCATGTCCATGCTTGTCAACTATATTTTTAGGATGACACTACTTCTTGGGCCTCCAGGCGCTGGAAAGACGACATTGTTGAAGGCACTTGCTGGAGAGCAGGACAAGGCTTTAAGGGTATGTATAGTCAAAAATGACATCACAAAGTTTGAAATCTTTCTTATATAGTAGAAAATATCATTGTGTTTGTGGTCTTTAACATTGTGGACAGGTAACCGGAAAAGTCACTTATTGTGGTCACGAAATGTCAGAGTTCATTCCTCAGAGGACTTCGGCCTATGTTAGCCAACATGACCTTCACCACAGTGAGATGACAGTTAGAGAGACGTTATACTTCGCAAGACGTTTTTTGGGAGTTGGAACTAGATATGACCTCCTAGCAGAATTGTTGAGAAGAGAAAAGGATGCACGAATCAAACCTATCCCGGAGATAGATGCATTCATGAAAGCCACAACAATGGTTGGCCAAGAATCTAGTTTGCTCACAGATTATGTTCTCAAGGTTTGTTTCCTCAATTTTCTGGCATCTAATGTCTAATGTATCAACCCGAACTAGCACCTTGAGATGACCATTAAGTTGATATAACAGATACTTTGATTAGATAACTGTGCTGATATAGTGGTCGGAGATGAGATGAGGCGGGGTATCTCCGGTGGACAGAAGAAACGTGTCACAACCGGTATGTGAAAAGTATTTTATCCCCCCCCCCCCCCCCCCCCAAAAAAAAAAAAAAAAAAATCTCCATTTTGTAAGGTCTCCCTCTCCCTCTCTGTTTAATGAGTTTCCTTTTGTGATGACATTCTAATATATGTTGGTATGTGTAGGAGAAATGTTGGTTGGGCCGGCCAAAGTATTTTACATGGATGGCATTTCAACAGGTCTGGATAGTTCTACCACTTACCAAATTGTGAAGTTTATGAAGCAGATGGTTCATAGTATGGATTCAACAATGATAATCTCACTTCTGCAGCCTGCACCTGAAACTTTTGATCTTTTTGACGACATTATTCTGCTATCAGAGGGACAAATTATTTACCAAGGTCCACAAGAGAATGTTCTTGATTTCTTGGAGAGTGTCGGATTCAAATGCCCCAAAAGGAAGGGAGTTGCTGATTTTCTACAAGAGGTCACTTCGAGGAAGGATCAAAGGCAATTTTGGTTCAAAAAGAACAAACGTTACCGATTTATTTCAGTTCCAAAGCTTGTGGAGCACTTCAAATCTTTCCACATTGGACAACAACTTTATGATGAACTTGGGATTCCGTATGACAAAACCAAAGCCCATCATTCTGCATTGGTGACTAGGAAGTATGGTATTTCCAATATGGAGCTTTTAAAGGCATCCTTGGCCAGAGAATGGCTATTGATGAAACGCAAGTCCTTTCTCTACATATTCAAGACCACACAGATTACAATCATGTCCATAGTTACTTTCACAGTTTTCTTTAGAACTGAAATGAAACATGGCCGATTGGAAGACGGAGGCAAATATTATGGTGCACTATTTTTTAGTCTCCTGAATGTGATGTTTAATGGAACGGCTGAGATTCCCCTTACTATGTTTAGGCTTCCTGTATTCTTTAAACAGAGGGATGCCTTGTTTTATCCTGCATGGGCTTTTGCCATTCCAATTTGGCTGATGAGGATCCCCCTCTCCCTTATAGAATCATCGATATGGATTATCTTCACATATTACACAATTGGGTTTGCTCCTGCTGCTAGTAGGTATGTGGTTGCACACACATTCTTATACTTAGGAAGTAATTTTCATGTGGAAGTATGTGAAAGGATAGTCAGAGGCCACAAATAAACTCGAATGTTTGTTTAATGTTCATACTTGGTTCAACAATCACCAGAACTGATGACAAGATAATATCAAGAATTGCTTACACAATTTTGCAACTTGTAACTGTGCAGATTTTTTTGCCAAATTTTGGCATTTTTCGGTGTACATCAAATGGCTTTGTCTCTCTTCCGCTTCATTTCGGCACTTGGTAGAACACTGACTAATGCAAGCACACTTGCTACCTTTACGTTGCTAATGTCTTTTGTCCTTGGTGGATTCATTGTTGCCAAAGGTTAGTGTTTTATGTCATTGTACTATTGATACTTTTGTTCACTCAAGTGGTTTGATTCTATATCAAACAGCGACATTAAGTTCAAACATTTCAAAGTATATTGAAACTCACTAAAGCAGTTATGCAATTATATCATTCTTTCCAAATAATTATTATAACTATATATGTAGATGACATAAAACCCTGGGTGATATGGGGTTACTACGTTTCTCCTATGACGTATGGACTGAATGCCATAGCCATCAATGAATTTCTTGATGAGAGATGGAGCACTGTAAGCCCAGTTTATGGTTTACAAACACCTGTCCTTACTCTTTTCAAACTTGAATTTTGCACATTATTTGACTGTCATAAGATACACCTTCTCGTTTGTTTCTACAGCCCAATACAGATCCAAGCTTTGCTGAACTTACAATTGGAAAGGTTCTTCTCAAGTCCAGGGGAATGTTCATGGATGACTATATGTATTGGATTTGTATCATTGCACTCTTTGGGTTTTCTCTTCTCTTCAATGTTGGCTTCATTGTAGCACTGACATACTTGGATCGTAAGATAAAAATTTTCATAGTACTCTCCTTATAATTGTAGTGTTTAATTCTGCTTTGCATTTTACAAATATTTTGTAACTGAAATGCAGCTTTACGAGATTCAAAATCTGGTATCCAAGATGGGGACAATAAAATTAAAAAGAGTTCAACAACTACAGCTCCATCAGTTAAAGGTTACCTACCCTTGCCTCTTAAGAATTCCAATTGGGTTTTCTAATCTTTCTATGCTTTTATCATTTTAAGTTTCATGTTTATACGCAAAGTTTGTGAATTGGACCTTATTTTACACATAGATACATTGTGCAAGACTACTAGTTTCTTACATAGTTTCCTTCACCCATGAAAACCATGGCATATATTGTTTGCACTATACTCTATAATTGCCATCTTAATTATCTCATTCATACAAGATTGTAAATTTTAAGAAAATATATGGCACTGGCTAAGAAATCTTTTTAAGCAAACTGATGGGGGTGTACAAATAATTCCAAGAGCTAGAGTTCTAGGAAAAACTTCTTATTGGTAAAAGTTACTTTAACTTGGGGGTTTTCATCATTGACCTTGCCTTTTTATCAACCTCATGAAAAGAACTGCAAACAGAAGAAGGGCTGGTGAAAGGCTAACCTCTCTAAGACCTATTTGGAGGCCCACAGCGACTATAATGCATGTGGCTCTTTATATCCACAAACTGATTAGTTTCCAAAATTGGCAGTGAATCTTTTTTCCATATATCAAATTTTTGAGTATTTCCATTCTTACATATCTGAAAGTTATCGAGAATTCTTCTCTGGAATAAGTAACGAAACAGTAAACTTCTAATGACAATGTTTCTATACTATGTTTATTTAGATAATGTAAATTTCAGAAGTTCACAATTAAACTATTCTTTCTTTATTCTTGAAAGGTAACCAAGTCTATCCATAACCCAAAAACTTAGACACAAACAAAATGTATTAACTGCCTCATGATCTATTATGGATATTGTTTTGTAGTGTTATGTATGGGCAACAACATCAGCATTTGCAATTATTGCTTCCAAAGCTAAGTCATTTGATATATTATGAGTGAGCTTGTTCCTTGTCTAGTTGCTAATGGAATCTGAATGACTTCAAAAATAAATATGGCAGTAAAGAATGCTCCATGGCGTACCAACTTAAGTGATGCAACTAATGCCAGCAGAAGAGGAATGGTGCTGCCCTTCCAACCCTTGTCAGTTGTATTTGATCATGTGAATTACTACATTGATATGCCTGCTGTAAGTAAATTATCTTCAGTTTTAAATATTAGTTGATGCTGCATGCTTTCGCTCTATAGAGATTCTGTTTTTTTTTTTTTTTTTTGGGGGGGGGGGAGTTTGTTTTTCTTCTCCATTTCTCTTTTTCGGTTGCATCTCTCAAATGTATAGGAAAAGATGGCTTCTGAGAATCATGCAAAATCCAGAAATAATTATCCACTAAATAGATGGGTATTTGTGTTCTTTTTTTTAAATAGTTTTTTTTCCCTGTCTTACATGCTACTTGGCTGATCCCATTTTGTATAAACTATATAGAGTTAGCCATTGATGGTATAAGGAGAAAATTTGGCTCATATATCGAATAACTTGGCCCTGCCAACATTTTCCATATCAATCCTTTCAGAATGATTCAAATTAGATGCTTATGAACTTAAGTTAGCCATGAATCGAATAGACATATAATACACTAAGGCAGCTTGGACATAAGTTTGCAACTTAATAATTTCTAAATACTTGTATTGCAAAAAGCATAATATATATTGAAGGAATGTTCACTACTTTGTACAATCAGCATACATCCAGAAACTAAGGTAAGGAGTTTTCACTGTCATCCATTCTGGTTTCTTCATCAGGAAATGAAGAACCAAGGAATTGAGAAACCTCGTCTCCAACTGTTACAAGATGTTAGTGGTGCTTTCAGGCCTGGTATTCTAACAGCATTAGTTGGTATTAGTGGTGCTGGAAAAACCACTTTGATGGATGTGTTAGCAGGAAGAAAAACGGGTGGATACATTGAAGGAAGTATCAGCATTTCTGGTTACCCAAAGAACCAAGAAACTTTTGCTCGTATTAGTGCTTATTGTGAACAAAATGATATACATTCTCTACATATTACTGTCTATGAATCTCTTGTGTACTCTGCTTGGTTGCGTCTTGCTCCAAATGTAAAGAAGCAAACATTGAAGGTTAGTTTTTTGTTGCCTGGTCCATAGTTGTTTCCTAAGTTTGTTGTTCATTCGGTCTGTTGTTCTTAACAATGTTGAAATGAGATTAGGAAAAGTTTATACCTTAACTTCTCTCTCTCTCTTTTTTTTGGTCACCCAAACCTTGTTCTTTTGTCCTCCTCTTGCAATTCATCAGGTTTGTTTTTCTTATTAATGTTGTGAACTTTTTCTTTTTCTTCTTTCTCCGTCATAGACAATGTCTTTGAGACAATAAAACATGCCAAAAGTTCATGTTTCGCGAAATTTATGTTTTGAGATGCATTTGATCATTTCAGCTGAAATATCTAAATTATGTCTTTTTGTGACTAACAAATTCAGCATGACAACATGTTTAATGACTTAGTGTCCCCTAAGGGTTTCAAATTGTTTTAACTTTGATGCTTTGGTGGTCTAGATGTTTGTTGAAAAGGTAATGGAGTTGGTCGAATTGAACATGCTGAGGGACTCCGTAGTTGGCCTTCCAGGAGTTGATGGTCTCTCAACTGAACAGCGTAAGAGGCTCACCATAGCAGTAGAATTGGTTGCTAATCCCTCCATCATATTCATGGATGAGCCTACATCAGGCCTTGATGCTAGAGCTGCTGCAATTGTGATGCGAACAGTGAGAAACACAGTAGATACAGATAGAACTGTTGTCTGCACAATTCACCAACCAAGCATAGATATTTTTGAAGCTTTTGATGAGGTAATTAAGAATGACAAGATTTTGCACTTGAAATTAAAAATTTTATAATCCCCATTTAGGCTGTGGTGCTTCTGTATTCCAATATAATTTTCTTTGTAGCTATTGTTGATGAAGAGAGGAGGACAAGTGATTTTTGCTGGACCTCTTGGTCACCATTCTCACTTACTAGTAAAATATTTTGAAGTGAGTGTCATTTATTCGCAAATTGTAAGATTCTCACACTTATTTTGGTACTAATCACTGATCTGAGATCTTTTGCAGTCCATTCCTTGTGTTCCTAAGATCCGAGATGGTTGTAATCCTGCTACATGGATGCTAGAAATCAGTTCTCCTATAGCTGAGGCTCAACTTGATGTGGACTTTGCAGAGATTTATGCAAATTCTAATCTATGTATGTATGTCAAACATAGACAACCCAATATGTGGACTTTGCAGAGATTTATGCAAATTCTAATCTATATATGTATGTCAAACATACACAACCCAATATCATGAATTCCTCCTACTTCTATCATCATATTCATTAGCGAGTAAAATTTCATGCTACAGTAACAACCTCCCTCACCAACGCCCCCCCCCCCCCCCCCCCCTCTCTACAGGAGGAATCAAGAACTTATCAAGAAGCTCAGCACTCCAGCACCAGGGTCTCAAGACCTATGTTTTCGTACCAAATTCTCCCAACCTTTTTTTGCTCAATGGAAGGCTTGCTTCTGGAAACTACATTTATCTTACTGGAGAAATCCCGAGTACAATGCCAATCGTTTTTTCTTGACAACAATTATTGGTGTTATATTTGGAGTTATATTCTGGAAAAAAGGACAGGAAACGTAAGTAATCTAGGAAATTAATGCTTTCTTGTCCATTTGTATTTTTCTCTCACAACAAAATAAACGTAACTAACAGGCACAAACAACAAGACTTGACAAATCTATTGGGAGCTATCTATGCTGCTATTTTGTTTCTTGGTGGAGCGAGCACCTCATCTGTACAGTTTGTTGTTGCAGTCGAAAGAACGGTCTTCTATCGTGAAAAAGCAGCTGGGATGTATTCAGCATTGCCTTATGCATTTGCTCAGGTAACATTTCAAGTACAAATATATGATAGGTATTTTAGAAAAAGGTATTAAAATTAAAAATTACAACAAAATGTACACTGCAAAACTAATTCCTAGTATTGTAAGCTGTGCAGGTGACCATAGAGACCATATATGTTGCTATCCAGACTTTCATATATAGTTTACTCCTTTACTCCATGATTGGATTCGACTGGCGAGCAGACAAGTTCTTGTGGTTCTACTACTACATATTTATGTGCTTTGTCTACTACACATTATATGGGATGATGATTGTAGCACTCACTCCAAACATCCAGATTGCAGCCATTGTTATGTCATTCTTCCTCAGCTTCTGGAATTTATTCTCTGGTTTCCTTATCCCTCGGACAGTAAGTACAGCTAACCCAAAAAAGTTGAGGAGTAAGTATATATATTTTAAGTGATCATGATGCACACTTGCAAACTTTCATCTTTGCGTCAAAAAATTTATTGACTTTTCCTCAAAATTTTAGAATCATTATATGTTGTTACAACAAGAGCTGGTGAGTGGGTAAGACAAGGTGTAGCGCAGTTTAGTCAGTGCAACTGTGGCGAATTGTAAGAAAAATTTGAAATAGTTCCCTACGGAAGAGTTATTAAAAGTTGTGGAACCTTGACGATCTCACCTGAGTGAAAAATGCTAGCGAAGATGAAATTTTACCCCATATTTGAGTAAGGCTGAGTTTGGGGATTAGTTTACAAAAGGAAGGCTTTGTGCTAGTAACTCTGTCAAGGCACAATCCCACTTTACTTGGTAGAGCTTAGGAATGATGTTGCAAATGGTTGTCTAAAATAAGCAGACATTTGTTCCAATTCTTATGGCTCAAGATTACCTAAGGTAGATCTCTAATTCCCAGCTTAATAAAGAAAAAAAAATTTGTATAATCTAGTGGGTACGACTAAGAAATGAAGCTTGAATTCACATATGTCAGGAGTGAAATGATGTTAATTTAAAATTCATGTCGTAATTCAGCGAGAGCAACATGTTAACAAAAAAAAAAAAAACTTGAAGATGAGATAACCTATAATCTTTAAATTTCCCAAGTATAAAGAAAACAAAAACAAATTCTATGCTATAGGAAACAAAGAAGAATCATTATATGAATGAAACTGTTTCAATGTCTTCTCATTTCTAAATGCTAAGAGGTGCTTTTCAAGATAGCAATGCTATTGGAATCTAATTTATTGATCTAATTCACTTAGATTGACGGTAAGAACTATCAAACATTAGAACTTAGTATTAATCCAATAATTACAATAAATTTATATCATTATGTCAATAAATTTAGTCAGATTTTTAGATCTCAATAATATTACTCTTTTGAAAATTCTTTCAAGGACAAATTGCACTTTGACCCTTGCAACTATGATCTGTTTCGCACATTACCTCTCAACTATCATATTTTTCTCATTGTACCTTAAATTATATTCTTAGTTTCACATTACCTCAATTATCTTCGATGTTACAAATTTGACGAAAAATTTTCCATTCCCCCTCCCCCGAACTATGTGTGTGTGTGTGTGTTTTTTTTTGTTGACTTTATCCCAAATAAATTGACAATTTTCATCCAAAAGATAATGGATGTTTGTATTTGGGGTAGTGTGACCTCAATTCAAGTTCTGGGAGCAATTTGAAGAATGAGATAGTTTAAAGGGAAAAGTTAAATTGAGTCTATAGAAAAGGGGGTCAAAGTATAATTTACCCTTTTTTTAAAATCTAATTGTTTTCAACTTCATATATGCAGCAAATTCCAGTATGGTGGAGGGGGTATTATTGGGGTTCTCCACTGGCATGGACAATATATGGCCTCGTGACGTCTCAGTTGGGCGACAAGACGAATCTAGTTCAGGTACCAGGTTTAGGTGACATACCAGTTAAGGATTACCTTAAAGAGTTCTTAGGTTATGACTATGACTTTCTCGGAGTTGTTGCTCTGGCTCATGTTGGTTGGGTACTCCTTTTCTGCTTCGTCTTTGCCTATGGCATCAAGTTCCTTAACTTCCAAAGGAGATGAAGGAACGTTAGAAATAACAACAGATTCATCATAGATAGATTTATTTGAATTTCTTTTCGTAAATAGTCATAGCTTGTTATGTCATTGATTGTTGGTTGCTGCTATTAATGTACTACAAGAATTCATAGTTTTATACGCATTTAATTGTCGGCCATTGTGTAAACGCTAGCACACACCTGCTTTTTAACAGCAAGGTGGTGCTTTCGTGAAATAAATACTCTCCATTCTTAAATATGTGATGGTCTATACAATTTTTTTTTTTTTTATAATATTTGACGTTTAATGAAAATCAAAGTATAATTAATATTTTTTTTTAAATTTACCCTTATCTCCGTTTTTCAATAAGGGCTTAATAACTGCACAAAATATTTTATTAAATAAGGGTATTTTAGTATTTTGTAATTATTTTGTACTCATATTAGAGTTATTTAATAATTTTTTTAATCTCTGTGCAAAATCTTTAAACGTAACGTATTTAAAAATGGAGGGAGGATTAAGATTACCAGAATTTATGTTAAATGCAATTAAAAACTTAATAAAAGAAACCAGCCTGAGTTCATTTTTCTATAAATAAAATTAACCTAATATTTCATTCACTCACCCGGTGATTGTTTTTGATAGCGTAAATCAACGTGGATGAGCAAAAGGTGCAAGTAACGGGAGATGAGTGTGGATCGGAGCTACAAGGCTTGTATATGTTGCTGCCATAAAATATTAAGGGGATTAAGGGGTGTACACAGTGAAAATATAGTGGTTCACCGGCTCAGGAGCTCGACTAGTCCACTCTTCAATGGAGAACCTTGCTCCTTTTTGTTCTTTATTGATTAGTTGAATGTAATACCAAATAGTGCTCAATTGACTAGGGTTTTTTCTCTTTGCCTTTACGATGAGACGTTGCATAGTATTTATAAGGCTGTCCCCTATTCCGTGGGATTTCGGCCGAGATCTTTGTCTATTATTCATGAGATCTTCCTTGATTTTAGGAGAGAATCTCGGTTGGTTGAGAGTTTCACGCGTGAGACTCAATTCCCGTAGTCACCCAATTGTTTTTTGGTTGGTTCAACTATGATCTTCCCAAGGGGAACTCCACCCCTGGTTCTCTGAGTTTCTTGTGTGTTTCCTGACCCGACCTCCTGACCTGACCTCACAGTTAGGGCTTGTTTGAGGTATCATCAGTTGCCCCCCAACCCCTGGTTCAAGCGGGCTTGGGCAGGGGTTGAGCTGTTTTGTAAATCGAGTAGGATCTGCACGTTGCTGACCTTGGCACACACATGAGTTTGGCCTTTTTGGCGAACACATGAGTTTGGCCTTTTTGGCAACTTTCAGCAATCATGGCTTCCTCATTTCCTGCGCACGTTTCAGTCCACGTCTTTCAGGCTTTAAATGCTCAAACGATTATCTGAACCGCCCTATTTCACTGTTCAACTTCTCTGCTGCTTCTCTCTTCTTGCGATTTCTTGGCTTTTTGGTTTGGAATTCTCTGATTCCTCGTTCAAGATCGAGTTTTGTGGGTTCGATTTGAGGATTCGCATTGTCCTCTTTCTTCCATTTCGCTCCGGACTGTTGTTTGTTGCTCTTTCCCCACTAGGTACGCCCTTCTTTCCCTTTTTCATCTTTCCTCGTTCTGGATCCCTTGAATTCGAGGTGGCTATTGCATTTCTAGGCTTTTCAGTTCTTTTACTTTTGGAATCAAAATTACTGCCTGTCTCCTTTCCCCCACTTCGTGGACTGGTCTTCTATCGTGCGAATCCTCGCTATTGGAAGCTACTGCGCTGACCCTAAGGTTATTAAGGAGTGCTTAATCAGTATTCCCCCTCTCTACTGTTCTTTCAGTTTACCTTTCTCCTATCCAGTCATGTCTACTCCTTCCAGAGTTGCACGTTCCTCTGCTTCTCTCTTGGGGGAAAGGTCTGCCGAAGAGGACACTGATTTAGGGGATGTAGGCGAAGAAATCGACAAATTTTCCGGTGTGGATGTTGTCGATGTCGAGGAAAATACTGAGGAACCATTCTCATCATCTTCTTCTATGCCCCCTAATCCTATCAAAGATAAAGGGCAAGGTGAGTGGGATAGGAGTCTCTGACAGCGCAGCGGGCATAGGGGCCGCCTTTTGGCACGCTGAGCTCGTAGGACCCAGTGAGGTTGACTCTTCTCATGTGAGAATTCTTAGTGCTTGTTACGGTTTTCCTCTTGGTGTCCAGCCCTGGTGTCCAGACAAATACACCTCATACATTGCCTAAGTTCACAAGAGGGTATGTTTCTTTGCGGCAGCTTTTGAGAATGGTCTTTGCTTCCCTATGCATCCCTTCGTCAAGAGTGTTTTGCAACACTTCAATGTCTGCCCTGCTCAGCTCTCTACTAATTTCTGGGGTGTACTTGTGAGTCTTCTGGTTTTCTTCAAGATTCATGAACTCGGGGTCCCCAGCCTTTCCTTGCTTGTGGATCTCTTTAATGTCAAGCTCACATCATCAGAGGGTTTCTTATATATCTTAAAGCGAATCACGGCTAGGCAAATCATTACTCATCTCCCAAGCTCCCATAAGGGTTAGAAGAAATAATTCTTTTTTGTTAGGGGCACCCACTAGGAGTACAACCCTGCTGACAGGACTGATACTCTAGGTATCCCTAGAACTTGGTCCGCCCCTGATAACTTAGGTGAGCTCTTGCTCGAACTGATTGAACTCTGATTTGGGAATCGTTGAGTCGCCTTTTTGACATTTGCTCACCTTGTGTTGCTTTTCAGGCATTCGACCAGAGCTCAGTGCTGAGGACGAGAGGGTAAAGCGAAAGTTGGAGAACTGCAATCCAGAGAAGTACTCCGAGCTCATCAAGCCCTGGGTCTTAATAGCACAGGGATTCAGTCCTCTTGAGGTATCCATTGAAGCTCCGCTCCCTATCTCAGTCGTTAGGCCTGAAAACATAGAAGGTAACACTTTTTGAGTTGGTTCCCTTGTCTCTCCTTCTTTTTCCTTTCTCTTGTCTAACTTGCTTGGTCCAGATCTCCCAGGATTCTCCATAATGAAATCTACCCTTGAGGAACTCCAGGCCAAAGTTGACCTACTGAAGAAGAGTAGGAAAAGTGGCAAACGAAAGGCCGATACCAGCTCTGGAGGCAGCCCCGCTGACAGAGTTAAAGTGCAGAAGTTGGGAGTGCCCTCTTCCTCTGCCCTGAGCAAGGGAGGACAGACTCCCTCATCTCAATCCCTGACCCCTTCTCCTTTTCGAGGGGCCCAGTTTGCCCCCTGAGAGACTTCGGAGCCAGGGCTGACTTCCCCTACCTCTTTTGAGGTTGAGGAAACATTGGGGCAAATAACTGGAATCAAGCCAGTTTTTGCACCCCCCGGACCGCCTGAGCAACCATCCCAGCTGCCTCTCCGGGGTCCCAAAGTCGAAAGGAGGGAGGGCCAGGGGACTGATGTAGATTCCTTTTTCGACAATGCTGAGTTGGCTCTTGAGCCTCTTTCTGCTTAGCTCTCCGGGGAGCAGCCACTATAAATACTTTCACACTAGCTCTTAGCTCGACGCGGTTGAATTGTGCTGATCTATGTCTACTTCCTTTTTTTTTTCCCAGATGACTCTCCACTTGAAGAACTTGATGGGTAGGGTCCGATCTTCAGAGGATTCTGCCAAAGTTTTGAAGACCTAAGAATTTAAGGTCGCTGAGCTGACCTTTGACAATGAGAGCTTCAGAGCTCAAGTGCAGAAGCTCGAGGAGCAAATGGAGAAGCAGGCCTCTGACTATGAAGGCCTTTAAGCTGCTAAGGATAGGGCTGAGGAAAGAGAGAAGAAAGTCAGGGATGAGCTGAGGATGACCAGGGAAGAGCTGCTACTCAAAACTAGTGCCTGAAAAAAGCTAGCCAGGAAGCCTTTGATGCTCGGGGCTCCCTCGAGAGCCTTAGGAAGGAGTATGTTATACTGGCTGAGGTGAACGAGGGCCTATGCGGTGAGCTCGAGGTGCAAAAAATAGCTGTCAAGGAGAGGGATGACATAATAGTAGAGCTGAAAGATGATGTCACCACCAAGTGGGCCTTAGGATGGTTGGCCTTTCAGCGCAAAGTGGAGAAGGCCTACTCAGACCTCGACTTTGACTTTGCCATCCCCACTGAGGAGGTGTTGGAGGAGTCTGATTCAGATGGCGATGACAACACCTTGGTTCTCGCTACCTCTGATAGGGCTCTGGAAGGTACTGAAATGTCCACTCCTCCAACTGTTCTAGCTAATACGTCATTTTTTGCTGATCTGGTAACTAGAGCTCTGTCTGAGATCGAGGCCCCAGCCTCCTCACCTGTTCTTGGCTCTTCTGAGATTTCAACAGCTGCCTTGTCAGAAGGGTTACTTGGTGAGCTGCTGAGCTCTGCCTCTGTTCCTGCAGCTGAGGCTATAGAAACTTCATTGCAGGATCCTCCACCTGTTCCTTCTTCAAAAACTTAAGATCTTTTAATTTAATTTTTTTTTTTAGCTAGCATTTGTAATTTCTATTGGGGAATGTAAACTTGACCTGCCTTTCTTGATTCGTCTGAATGGTAAACATACTGGTGTAAACGCACCAATTTTTTCCTCTTTCTCTGATTGCTTTCTTGCACAATCTAGCTCATTCTTTAATACAGTCTATTTTGCTTAATGTGATAACACGATCCAACTTGTTTTTCAATGCAGTCTACTCTGCTCTAACACAATAACACGACCCAACTTGCTCTTCAATGCAGTCTACTATCCTTTTCTCAGATCTACTCTCATTGTTTTGTGGTTAGCTGCTCGCGTACTGCTCTGTAGCCGAGCTTTACTGTGGACTCGTAGTTATCTACCCTGTTATATTACAGTTTATTGCCCTGAACTTTTCCTGGACAATCGAGGGCTGTTATTGCTTAGGATAGATGAGGAGTATCAAGGGAATGTTGAGGCTTAATTTATTATGCTAATTCGACCTCACCACACGAAGTCTCTTCCTCTAAGGGCTCCTAGGTGCTGGCCTTATACGTACCTCTACCGAGAAGCCCCTGT